TACCCCCACACGCACCCCACACCCAGAGGCCAGCTACCCCCCAGACCCCTGAGCCTGACACCCCTAAATCCACAGGACCCCAAACCTTAAGATGAGCTACACCTTGGATCCCTGGTAAAGTAATCTCAAATCCAGCCCCCTCTTCCCGACCCTTGGTGAGGTCCAGACCTCGTGGAATCATGATGTGATGACTGGTCATGTTTGAAAACAAAGCTTGAGCACATTAGCAGCATCTGCGTCTCTACTGAGGCTGACCTCACTGTACCAGAAAAATCCCTCCTCCAAACTGGCCCAGGGTTCGACCCAAAACCAACTGATTTAGACTCCTTAAACACCACTCCCTTAAACATCTATATCACACCTGGACATTGTACAGCTCCAGAGACACATACGGCCCTTTGGTCGACTCTGACCGACCCCTTTAAGATCATTTGGATTTACAAAATAAACATGGTTTATAACTGCACCTCATGCCTGGACTAAAGCTGCATTGCTTTTATTTTAGAAGTGTTTTTAAAACACTTTTTTGTTCGGCAGTCTCACTTTTTCATTGTTTAGTCAGAACATAAACTCTTCCCAGTCTGAGCAGCTCGTCACAACAATGACATTTATGATTTTTATGAAGAAATACAATGAATATTCTGCAGAATTGAGCTGATCACCGGTTTTTACCCTGATGCCCTCCCGCTCTCCCCCCATGACTCTCTCCTCTGTGGTGTTTTGCAGTGTGGCAGGCAGCAGGTGGCGCTGTGGCCGGCCTGTCTCCACTGTGCTGTGTTCGGTCCAGACGCAGCGAGAGCGCCCCCTATCTGTCACAGTGAGTACCTCTCTATGTGTCTTTCATCTGTGTTGCTCATTTGTCATTTGAAAATGTTTCACTCCCCACTGTTGCCAGCAGAGGGGGCAGTAGAGCCACCAAACACATGTCTACACAACAGACTTGGCCTGGGACTAACCCCCCCGTGGTGAGACCCGCTTTAAGTCACTCAGTTCTTCTGAGCTGTGCTAAGCCGAGCCAGGCCTGGTCAGGACCCACAGGGACAGCAGTGGCTCTAGGGCAAAATGTGGCTGTGCCCTTAGGCCAGACACTTCACTTAAACTGTCTAGTGTGAATGTGATGTCAGAGGGTCCCATGGCACAGACTGGCAGCATCACTTCTCTCAGTCTGTCCCAGGGCAGCAGTGGCTACTGTAGTATCTTACAACCACTGAGTGTGGAGTGAAAGAATAATGCAGCAGTAGTAGTAGTAATAGTATTAATAGTAGTAGCAGTAATAGTAGCAGCAGTATTAGTAGTAGTAGTAGGAGTAGTATTAATAGTAGTAGTAGTACTAACAGTGTTCATCTGTGCTCAGATGCTCCTGGCTCTTCCTGGTCTCTGGAGGTTTTCTCTCAGTGTTTGTGGCTTGTCGTCTGCTCTGCGCTTTAAGAAAAGTTTGGAGGATCCCAACTGGACTGATGGTACTAAGAACAACTAAACCAAGACTAAACCAGGTCTGAACAAAGACTAGAACAAGATTTACTGTAAGCAGGTCTGAACCAGTCCAATGAGATTCATTTGGTCTTCCGATATTCTATGTGATTAGGTTCTTTTTTTCAGACCTAGAGTGTTATTTCATACCTGACAGTTTGGACTGCTCACTAGCGTCTTCCTCAGAGTCACGTGATGTTGCTGTGACGTGTCTGGTCAGATGATTTAAACAGGTTTTGGTGCTGTCTTCCTACCGGTGGAGGCAGGACGACAGCGCCACCTGCAGTCCCACTTCCTCAGGACAGTATCCCAGGTGTGTGAGAGTAAAAAAGCCCCCTCGTCCCGGTTTATCGTCCTGTGGGCACGTTTCTGTATTTCGATTGCCTCTTTAATCCAGCGGCAATGTTTGTTTTCCTTTGTCCCAATGATGTTTGCTCCATCCCAGTCCATAACGTGGTTCTTTCTTTTACAATGGTCAGAAATGGACGATTTGAGTTGTTCCTGTTCTGCTTTGTGTTTTGTTGTTTGTGTTTTGTCTTCGCTGTTTCCTTCTCGCATTCTGTTCTATGTTCCTTTTTTTGTGTACTGAACGCCCTCCCTGTTTCCCCGATATATGTTTTATTGCAGGACATGCAGGGTATTTCGTATATTACATTACATTTATGCTCCGGTTCTATTTTGCCTTTCGGGTGGATGAGTAATTGTCTGAGTTTTCTGTTCGGTTTCACTGGTGTGTTGATATTGTGTTTTTTCATCGCCCTCTGCACTTTTTCTGTTATGCCCCTGATGTATGGTATTGTTCCCATGCCTGTGCTCATTTTTTCTGTTTTGTTTTTGTTTCTCTGGTTCTGTTTTTCTTTCTCCCTAACCTGTTGTTTCCCTTTGTTTATTGCCCATTTTGGGTATTGGCATTGCCTTAGCGCATTGTGAATGTGTCTGTCTTCTTTGGCGCTGTCGTCCTGCCTCCACCGGTAGGAAGACAGCGCCAAAACCTGTTTAAATCATCTGACCAGACACGTCACAGCAACATCGCGTGACCACTCTGAGGAAGACGCTAGTGAGCAGAACAAACTGTCAGGTATGAAATAACACTCTGGGTCTGAAAAAAAGAACCTAATAACACAGGTCTGAACCAGGCTGAACCAAGTTAAACCGGGTCTAATGCTCCTGATTGTTGGTCTTGATGAACTGAACCTGGAATATTCTTAATATTTAAGAGTTAGTGCTTCATAAACTGATTCAGTGCATTTTATAAAGTATGATGTATGTGTACGTGGAAGGGACTAAACCAGGACTGGACCAGGACTGGACCAAGACCAGGACAGAAACAGGAGCTGCAGGATTAAAGCAGGACCAGACCAGGGCTAAAGTGAGCGACTAAACCAACTCCACCAGAAAATAATGGAATGGGCCAAGTACTAAACGAGGACTAAACACGGACTAATCCAGGACTATGGTTGTCCACTGTAAATATAAATGTCAGAATTAAATTCATTTAAATAAACTGACTGTATTAAAGACTGTGGGATCTCTTTATTGTATACTTCTGAGACCTGGAGCTTCTTGAAGAGACACCAGGCAAAGCTGTGCTCCTGGCTGCAGCCGCAGATCTGGACTGGGCAAAACATGGGGCGGAGTTTAACGTCTGGCCACGCCCCTATGGGCTGGGCTCAACTGTGGCATCTCGTGGCAAAGATCAGGCAACACACTGAAACGTCAGTCATACAGCACTGAAATGCTACTGGTGGTTTATTTCACACACACACACACACACGTATGTGCACGCACACACACACACACGCACGCACACGCACACACACACACACACAAGGCATACAAGGTTTGTATAACCTTTTGATTCCAGATCGTCTGTAAAACCTTTACAAAATATTCAGTGTCGTTATTATTGAAAAACAATCATTGAAAACACAAAAGTCACACAGACTGTTTTCTTTGTTTTTTTTCTTCACACAGCACTTCTGTTTACAGCCTCTTTTTGTTTATTGTCCATGGCTTAAGTATGATACACAATCAACATACAGTAACAGAAGCATCATTTGGGTGGATGTGGATGAACATTGTGTAAAGTCTAACAAGTCAATCTCACAGCCCCCGAATTCAAGTGAAATGATATTTTATTCAAATTGTGTGCTCTTCAGTGTGACAAAAGACTTCATTGAAAATAAATCTGAAAAATAAATACATAAATGCATACATACATAAAATGGGATATGAGTATAAATCAATTCATGAGGCTGTAAAGTGGCTGGTAAAGTAGGCGGCGTCAGGCCTTGAGCTCCGCCCACATTGAGCTGCTCCTTGGTCTACGGATTGCAGCCACCTCAAGCATTCACCCACCAACTGCAGGGTTGCCAGTTCAATTCCCTCTCTGCTAATCAACTCTAAAATGGGAGAGAGCCAAACGGAAAAAATATAATGTATAAGTAAAGTCATGTGCTTCTTCTGAGAGACACTTCACTGTGACTGGTCACCCAACTGAATCTGATGACGTCATAGTTTCAGATGGAGGGTGAGAATGTGTTCCAACGACAGAGAGAGAGCTCCAGTTTTTAACCTCTACAATTTATCCATAAACGCAATAACAAACACATTCGGATTAGCAATAATAAAACTCAACCTAGAGGAACATTTTACTGGAACACACAATTTCAAGATATTCAGTGGCATAAAACCTGGACTAGCTCATTTCAGTACCAATCATCAATAAAATATGACAACTTCACTTAAGGATCTCACTCACATTTTACCCCACAAACATTTTTTTATCTAGATTTCTCCAAACTGACCCAAATTGCAACTTCTGTCTGCACACCCTGAAAACATGACTCATCTATTTTTGTCATGCCCCATTAGCTCCACAAACTGGAAATGATTTGAAGTTTTTCTTTTTTCCAGAATTTACACATCCCAATAACCTTAAAGAAGAAAATATCACTATACACTGTACACATAAAAATGTATGTGTCTGTGTGTGTGTCTGTCTGTGTGTGTGTGTGTGTGTCTGTGTGTGTCTGTCTGTGTGTGTCTGTGTGTGTGTGTCTGTGTGTGTGTGTGTCTGTGTGTGTGTGTGTCTGTGTGTGTGTCTGTCTGTGTGTCTGTCTGTGTGTGTGTGTGTGTGTCTGTGTGTGTCTGTCTGTGTGTGTGTCTGTGTGTGTCTGTCTGTGTGTGTGTGTCTGTCTGTGTGTGTGTGTCTGTCTGTGTGTGTGTGTGTGTCTGTGTGTGTGTGTGTGTGTCTGTCTGTGTGTGTGTGTGTGTGTCTGTCTGTGTGTGTGTGTGTGTCTGTCTGTGTGTGTGTGTGTGTCTGTGTGTGTGTGTGTGTGTCTGTGTCTGTCTGTGTGTGTCTGTCTGTGTGTGTGTGTGTGTGTGTGTCTGTCTGTGTGTGTGTGTGTGTGTGTCTGTCTGTGTGTGTGTGTGTCTGTCTGTGTGTGTGTGTGTCTGTCTGTGTGTGTGTGTGCGTGTGTCTGTCTGTGTGTGTCTGTCTGTGTGTGTGTGTCTGTGTGTGTGTCTGT